TTTCTGCCTTTTTGTTAGGCATTTGTGGAGGATCTATGAGTTTCTATCTCTATATCATTTAAAGCTTAGAAAGAAAAAGTTTCATGCATAGATTTGGCTAAGCTAAGGTTCTGTATTTCATTTATTATCTAACCAAGAATGGCATATCCAGGAGCTAACTCTTGGCTTTAACATGGAGAGGAAGGCCAGGACTCTAGGGTAGAAACATGACCAAAGCTTGCCTCCATGGAACCCACAGTCATACTTTGAGGTAGGCTTGGCACAGAATTGCATTCATCAGAGATCTTCCAAAAGTCTTAGTGAGTTATAACAGTGTTTCAAGTCCCCAGATAATAATGTCAATAGTGAGCCACTGCCTGAACACTCCTGTTTCTCAAGTGATCATAGTTGACCAGGGTATGCTTGTAGGGACAGTTAACAATCAGGACACAAAACAATGTTGCAGAACCTTCTTTAATAGCACTTGTCAAAGAAATTTGACCACTTCAGTCAAAGAAATCTGAGTGATGCTCTTACTTGGCTAGAGGAATTGGGTGAGAGACCATAGCATGAGCTTTCAAATCCCCAGGTTAAGTAATGTTAAGACTCAATGCTTAACTATCAAAAGCTCAGATCTCTCTAGAGGGCTCTAGTTAAAATACTCTGCATGACAAACATTATTCACTTTCAGTTACAGTAATTGAACCATTCTTGTCTCTTAGCTGCCATTCTTGGACCCCAAATCAATGTTAAAACTGCATAAGGTACCTGGAAGATGGCAATTCTCACCACCATCTCCAGATTTCTAGTACAGCAACCACTTCTTCAGAAGGCTGTTTTTTTCAACCAAAAGCATTTATCAATGGCCAATGAATGGAAGTGTTTTCTACAACTACTATGATGCATTCATTTTGAGAGGGAAAGTAAGCAAGTTGTACGTAATATTGTTTTCTCAACATTGCCAAATTTCTAAGTCTGTTGTATTTCTTGTTCTAAATAATTAGAGGGAAACTTTAGTTTCTTAACCTCATTAACCATAGATCTTGGAAACCAGTGATTTGGTCAGTTAACCAAGCAAGCTGTTAGGGCCATTTCCAGCTAAACCACTTAGTAAATTCAATATTTTTCTCAACAGAAAAACCCAACCTAACTTTATATTCCATTTATCGCCTAAAAACATATTAGTCTATGATACTTAAGAGCCATCTGTAGGGGATATATAGGTTCCACATATATACATATGTGGGTTCCTCCAATCCTTGTGGTATATATGCTGTCTTCTCCCAAGATTACTAGTCACCTCCTGTGATGTTGCTGGATTGTAATGTGAGTTTGAGGTCTACGTAGTTAAGGAAATGTGGTTTAGAAGTAGACACTCTAAAAGGAAAAGGGAGTCTTTACCTTGGAAGATGGGAAAGTTTTAAGATTCAGTTTTTCCTAAAAGTTCAGTATTGGTCAAATGTTTTTTTGTTTGTTTGGTTTTGTTTTTTGTTTTTTTTCTAAATTAATTTTTTTATCGGTTGTTTGTGGATTTCATATCATGCATCTCAATCGTCCCACTCATCTCGTCATCCCGTGCCTTCACATCTGCCCTCTGCCCTTGCAATCTCCCCACATCAAAACAGAATAAAATTTAAAAGGAAGACGAAATATCTTGTTGTGGAAGCGGTGGTGTGTAGTGAGATATTCACTTCATCTGCTCCTGTGGCACAGACCACACCCATTGGGGGTGTGGACAGGGTCGGATGTTACCTGGGGGAACTAAGTCTGAGCAAGGGGCTCCCAGAGCTCTCTTGCTTGCAGCACAGGGACAGGAGGACATCTGGAGGCACCTTTGGGACCAGGAACCTGCTGGTATTCATCTGTCTATGTTGTAAGTTATGTCTCTCTGAATAAATACCTATTCGGCCTGTCTGTTTCTCCTGATCCTTATTAAACCTCAATAGTGATGAAATACAGTGAGTCACTCAGTACACCCTTTATTCCTCCCATCTCACATCAATACTTGCAAGTGTTCGCTACAATGAGTCATTGCCTGCCCTCAGATGTTTCTATTTCTAAATGAGCCATTGATCTTTCATGAGTCCTCTCACATTAACAGAAGAAATTTACCAAAGATAACTGAACAATTTTCTTCAAAATCTCTAAACTGTGCCTTAAGACACAGTTTGAGCTTGAGCTCACCTTTGAGCCACATACACCCACATCTATATAGTACATTTTAAGGACCACTTAACACTGTCATTAAGTTCATCATTATTTCATCTGTAATTGGAACTGAGAGTTAAAAGCCTTGATTTGACTCTTTTTCATCTTTGAAGTCTTTCAGTGCTATATCCAAAGCTGTTCCAAACTCTAGCAAACTTATAGTCATTGTCACTGTTGTATTAACAGAATGTACCAGAACATCGAACTTTCTGGAGCCTTGATAACAAAGGTGGTTGCATTGCTACTGCATGCCATGGATTACTAAAATACCCTCTTTCTCTCTGTAAGCAGTCATTCTTATCCTTATGAGGTGACTCATAAACAAGTTTAGGCCACAAATCCTTTCTTCACACTTTTTCTCTTGGAACAATACCTTGTGGACAAAAATTAGGTCTGCACACGAGAATCTTATACGCAAATACACTCTGAGTGTCTTTTATTATTGTTGCTTTGGGTTTTTTGTTTGTTTGTTTTTCAGGGTAAGTTTTCTCTGTGTGGCCCTGGCTGTCCTGGAACCTACTCTGTAAACCAAGATTGTCTCAAACTCACAGAAATTTTCCCGCATGTGCTTCCCAAGTGTGGGTTTAAAGGCATATGCCATCACAGCCCATTCAACTGTACTCTAAGTTTCTAAAATAGTGATGTAAATCAAAAAGTTTAAGAGAGTAAAGGCAACCAGAGAATAATGATCTGAGAACAACATACTGAGTAGCAAAACAAAGAATCAGTTTCCTAGAAGCCTAAATCCTGGGTACCAGGCAGAATTTGAGGGTGTGGTTGTATGACAGAAGATTAGGACAGAGGCATTTGAGCTGTGGGACCCAGACCCAGCTCTACCACATATGGAAAGCAGAGAGGGAAAAAGTACTACCATTTGTCCCTCATCTCATGGCATTAGCATCTAATTGCCCACCAGTGCTGTGAGTACATTCATGTACCTCAGATACGCCTGCATCTCTTCAAAACTTGAAAAGGATCCATCCTTATCAAATAGCCCCTAAATGTGTGAAGAACAGGGCTTGTGGTTGTGTTTTAGATAGATGAGTGATTGATCCCACAGCAGAAACCATTCCTTTCTCCACTTCAGATTGGAATCCTTTGGCCACACTGGGTTATGACCCTTGCTCAGCAAAGAGAACATCAAGTGACACTGAGGTATGTGTATATGACAAACACATTAGATGAATGAAAACAAATTTAGGACAGAAGAAGATGGTTGACAAGAACTTAAGAGGAAATGGATATCAACTCATGAAAACTGAAGTCAAATATGAATAATTGGTGAATGTATTGATAGAAAAGAATGTGATGGAGTTTCAAATACACTGGTATAGCTATTAACTTTTATCCAGAACATCATATGGCATCCTAAAGAGGAGTTAAGTACTTTTGGATTATTGCAATAAATTCATCTTTCTGGTGACCATGAGAATGTGAAATTTGAAGAAGTTAAGCAGTTAGCAAATGAAGAGAAATTAAAATTTGTCCAACTTAGTTTACCAGCAGGATCTGTGGAAGCCAACGTCAATACAGATTAAAATTAAGCTAGAAAAATCACAATGATTTGACTTTCTCAAATGTGGGAAAGTTAAGGGAGTGGGAAATGAGGCTGGATACCATGATATGTCTTTAGTGACATATCTGTAACTGTCTACTGTGCTGTGCATAATTAGTAATAGGAATGCTGTAAATGTTTTTTATTCACCCCACTTCTATTTTCCATCCTGAGTAATTCAAACCAGCATGTGGGACACATGGGAAGAGAAAAACTTCTAAATTACACACAGGTTTGCATATTGGCTCCTTGCAGGATAAACTGTGTTAAAAATACAAATTCCAGGATGTCAAATCCCTAAGGGAATCATGTCTCTCTTACTTCTCATGTTTTTCCCTTTTCAGATTACATAAATACCAATGGCATTTGTTGCAGAGATTCTTTGGAATTTTTCTTTGTTCCATTCTGCACATTGTCATTATTGAACTGTTTTATCCTGGACTCCCATTAGCATCTAAAGAAGTTGTCAAATATTGTTTTCCAATGAAACTATTCTTCCCAAGCTATTCTAGCTCCAGGGAAAATTAATTCTGGTGTCTAAGTAGACTTTGGTTGTATATCAAAAGACATGTGATCATTGAACTCTCAAAGGGGAAGAAGCCTAGATTGTCTAGTTATTCTTTCCAAATTTAATAGATGAGGACACACAACAAGGACGTTTAGTAATGTTTTCCAGGAGTGCATGGGTCATTAGCAGAACAACTAGGTCAGGAACTTTTTTCCAGATAATCTAGAGTTCATTCTCTCTGTGTCACTTCAATATCAAAAGGCATTATCACTTGAAGTATAATTGTTCTTTTTCAGAGTCACAAACACCTTATAGTGTGTTTTACATAAGAAACAAAATAGGACCATTCCACCCAAAAGGTAACCCAGGCCCCACTCTGCTTGGCTTCAAGATATTTGGACTCAAATCCTTAATGCAATGTCACCTTTGCAAGTTTTTTCTTTCTCTGTAAATTCCTTTCAAAAACATTTTAGCTTTTCCTTCTGACTCCTTCTTTCCAAGAGAAGCCTTCAAAAACTTTATTCACAATATAATTGCGTATAATTTCAGCTGAAGGTACCACCACAGATAGGAAACATAAAGATTCAAAGCCTCCAAGCAATGCTACTGAAATGAGAGTCTCTTTTGTGTGTGTGTGTGTGTGTGTGTGTGTGTGTGTGTGTGTGTGTGTGTTGTGCAACTCTGCCTAAGCTCACCAAGGCCAGGAGAGGATTTTGGGAGTCCCGTTCTCTCTCTTTCTGCCTTACTCATACAAATATGCAATACTTCAGTGAATGGTGTGTCATTCTTGCACAGGGGTCATTCTATTCTCCATTGTATCATTCATGTTTTAGTATATGTACTTATAAAGTGAGGTCACAGGTTGCTTTTCATAGGCGGGATGTGTTTAAGTGCCCTGGTAAAGGGCATATTCATGATGAGCTACCAAGGCTAAGGCTTTAGGACTTTCACCAGGGACCTTCCAGGACTTGAGATGAATGAACATTTGTGCTATGCATCATATTTTTTTTTTAGTAAATTTAATCCATCTGCGTTTAGCCTATCTACATTTAAGAACATTGTATTTACTTTATCATATCTATATTTAAGAATGTTTTCATTCTTTTTCACTCAGATATGTTTTATATATTTTTAAAAGCTAGAGGAGTCCATCAGCCTTGTGGTATAAGCGAGATGGTGCTAAGGAAACTTCACTTTAGTACCTATGAATAGTTTAGAGTTGAGGCAATAGTTGGCCATTCCCCAACCACATCCATGTATAATGCAGTAATCTACATCCTCGTGTATGAACAGCTTCTGAGGATACTTGAAGACAAAGGGAAAGCATCCAGATTTAGTTTGGCAAAGGGATAGACAACCTGATATAGTGGAGAAGAAATGAGCATAGAAATGATTTAGCCTGAGGAATTATTCAATGCTAACTCTAGGTTATACAACTTGTTTAAATCTCCACACTTCAATTTTATTGCTTAAAATGAAAACAAGGGAACTGACCTTGGGAAGCACTGCTGAGGATTCAAAGGATCTTTGTAAGTCCCTGTGTATGCCTAGTAAAGTCTATGCTTCATAATCAGTCCACTATTGAGCATATGTCATACATTGTCCTATTAAGTCCACATATTCAATCTGTTATGTCGGTGTTGCCTTTTTGTTTGGATGATGAGAAAGTGCACTTTTTATCAGGATAAACAACTGGCAAGTAAAAGACAGTATTGAAATCCAGTTATTTCTCACCCTCTATGCTTTTGACAAACTATAGGATCATTTTGTCTTATTTGTTTTACTATAGCATCTTACTCTAATGCATATTCACAGTGTAAGAGTTCTTTAGTGTAAAGAATCAAAATTAAAATTCATTTTTTAAACATTTAACTTCATGCATGTCTGAGTGATTTATCTGTGTATATGTAGGTACACCATGTGCTTACCTGGTGCCAGGGGAATCTAGACGTGGGTGTTGGATCCCCTGGATCTAGAGTTACTGTTGTGAGCCACCATACTGTGTCAAGGAGCAAACCCCCTCCTCTGCCGAGCAGCAAATGATTCAAAATACTAAGCCATCTCTCTAGCCCCTAATTTTGTTAGTTTTAATTGACAAGATAATTACTCATCAATTAAAGAGATTGGGGATTGAAAATTTCAGATATAAAACAATGCAATTTCAATAAAAATATGTTGTATTTTTATAATTTATTGCCATTTAATAATATTTGAAGTTGGTCCTGGAAGAAAAACATCCCTAATCTTTCCAATCAAAATGTTGAAGGAATTGGTTCCACATCTCCAAATTGGAAATAATGTTCTGCAATCCCAAAGTCTGTTAGAAATCTAAGTGTCTCACAAAAGCCAGATTGCCCTTTCTCAGGGTCCCAAAGTGGCCTGTTCCTGGCTGCATTTAGACCCTCCTATTACTGTATCCTAATTTGCCATTTTTAAATGTCTCTGACAGCAAAGACATTCAGATATGACAGTAGAAGAAACCCAGGGTGGGGGAGGTAGGAGGTAGCATAGTGCTCTTGAGAGTTTTGTTTGATCATACCTAGGCAGAGCCCTGGCTTTGTCTCTTGTACTTTCCGGCCCTTGGCAATGACTTAACTGAAGGTTTCCACCATTAGTAAGTTCAAGTTCAAGAAGGAAAACAGCTTGTACCCAGGGATAACTGAAGCACCATTTTTTTTGTTTGTTTGTTTTAAGTTGTGTAATTCTCCCAATAGTGATGCTTAATACATTCATTTTACGGATGACCACATTAATAGCTAAGAAAATTAACCAATAAACAGCTTCTAAATAAATAATGTTGTCTAAATCCAAATCCCCATTTTATTTTGCTGAAAAAATCAGTGTCAATCGTCATAGTGCTATTTGCAAAGATTTCTTAAGTTCAAGGGGTATTCATTGTTTACAGAGAAATTTAGGGTTATTTTAATTTTTAGTTCTTTTTTTTTTTGTATTTGTCAGTAATTTTAGTTTCCCCAAAACAATTTAGATTTCTTTCCATCAATTTCCAATAATATATAAAGTATGAAAATATAGTATTTTGATCCAACAAGTTACCATGGACTATATTTCTAGGGTGTAGACTGTCCTTCATATTCTCAGCTCTTTTCTGCACAGAATTTCAACAAAATGCTTTAATAACAGACTTCCATTTTACAGCTCCTCTGAGCCATTTCCCCTTCCATTTCAGGTTCTCAGGAGACAGGCATGTTTAGTTTCATAAACAGTTTACTGTCTGATGTTACAGAATGTGGTGACATGCTTAAAATGGCTGTGATGGAAAGATTGGACCACCACTGCCGGAAGGCCACTCACAACAGGACTTTCTCAGCCACCCCTTGCCGTGACAAGCCTAAATGGAATCTGGCCTGCAGAATGTCTGGGTTGTGTGTGAGTTTGGTGTCAAAGCAAGTCCAAGCAAGTTCTCCCAAATGCAGCCTTTACAGCATCTCGAAACTCAAGAACATTCCTTCAAGGCACCACCCACCTTTTCCAGTGGGAATCCAGAGATATGATCCTCTTGGAATTAGCCTGTAAGTGGGAGAGGGTGTTAGATTTGTGCTGTCAGAAGATTCATGGGGGAAGGGCAAAACCAAGACGAGAAAATGAATGTTATTGCCACCAAAATATTCTCCAGGATGAGGGAGTATACCCTGCAGCTGTTGAACAAGGCTGCACTGCTCAACATATTTTACATATTTACATACACCAAGTATTTCCAAACAGGCTTGTGTTTGTTTAAAATTCCCCTACTGAGATGTCTGGCAAATCTGTCATTGTAGAAAGTTATTGTAGAAGTTTACAAAGACGTTTTCAAAATCACACACACATACACACACAAACACACACAGGCAAATGCACACACGTCTACGTGTGTGTGTGTGTGTGTGTGTGTGTGTGTGTGTGAGAGAGAGAGAGAGAGAGAGAGAGAGAGTGTGTGTGTGCAGGTATCTGTGTGCATGTAAGCAAGAGAGTCACTGTCTTAGGCCACATTGTAAAGCAATCTGGATTATTCTACTTATCACCTCCTGCTTAGAAATAAAGTGAAATAGACCCTAAGACTAAAGAAATAGAGAAAACATATTATTTGAAGCTAAATTATTCTTTCAAATTAAAATTATGCACAATGCAAAATATAAATTTACATCATTCAGTGATCCTTGGTTAATCCTAAACTGTCAAAAATTGAATTTTCTTAATTGCTCTTATCTTTAATCTTTGACTTGAAAGTACTCTATACCCAACTTTACTAAGATCTAATTGACAAAATAAAATTAAATATATTCAATGTATGCGGTATAGTTTTATACACGCACATATTGAATGGTAATTACTACAGTCCAAATTCACTAACACATCCATCATTAAAAGTGGTTTGTTTTTGTAAGAAAACCCAACACTACATAGATTTCTCATATAACTGATTTCTTTTGGAAACTTCAAACACCACAAAACCACACAAAAACACATTAACTCATTTGAAAAAGGCTAGGGAACTTTCAACAGAAGAGACTGGGTAGTTTAAAGCTACATTTTCCTTTTAGCAAGATCCACAAGAAAAGGATAGAGTATCATGCTTAAGGAGGAACAGATTTTGTATTTTTTGGCAACATATTAAATCCTCTGCTGCTATATTTGGCTCTCTGTAAATAGTGGCTTGTACAAGTGCAAGGCAGGGATCAATGCTGGTGTTCTTCATTCAGCCACAGCCAAACTTGGTATGGAAAGTAAAGCACTCTTGTTTGGCTATTGTTTCCATCAGGCTGGCAGTTCATTTACTGATTAGCAGCATGCCATGGTATGGATTCCTACTTTGCTTGTTGAATCTATCAAAACACGCTTGCTTTTCTGTAATAGTTTTCCACTGCTTAACTGACAGCAGATGGAATGATTCGATCTGGACAGAAGTGTTAAGACTTCAACCACGTCAATGTGGTTATCTGCCACTATTTAGTCAAATGAGACAGGATGGGCATAAGTCCCACCCCCCCAAGCAAAACAGCTAAATGGTTTTTGGTTGTCCTCAGAGAAAACACTTCAGTGAGTACGAAACTACACTCCCTCCAGAACTGTTTTCAGGTGGTGACCTCTTGGATTCTCCAGCTCCATAAAAAGTCCCAAACACTTCAGGAAACATTTTGAAGAAACATCAGAAACATCCTTGATGCCCAGTTATCTAAAGGGAAGATAATACCCCATACAAACACAAAGCAATGATTATGTTCTATTAATGTTGGATGAAGAAATAAATCCTCCCTGGCCATAAGCTGATTTTTAAAACCCCACTAAAGGCAATACATTGTGGTAGAATAAGATGGGTTTACATTCTTTCTCCCCAAATTTCAGAACACGTATCTCATACAGAAATGGGGACTTGGCAGATGGGGCTGTAAAATACCCAACATTATACTGAATCCTATAAGTAGAACTAATTTGTAACCAAAGGGACCCTTACACATGCAAGGAGGAGGTGGAAGAAAATGTGAGGGTACCACCGGGTGGGGCAAACTGGTTTTGAATAAGGATGGAGGGACCAATGCTGAAGGATTGCTGAAACAGAAAGCAGAAAGGACCCAGATCTTCTCAAGGAACGTGTGAGGCAGCTTCAGTCTGTGCTTAGCAGCCCACCAAGACAAAGCCTGTGCTAGATGCCCAACAGGTGCAGAACTGTAAGATAATCTGCTTGTGTTGTCTTAAGTCACTGCATTTGCAGTAATTTTTTTACAGCAGCCATAAATCCCTTTTATATTATCCTAGTCTAACTATGTCAGACTGTAAAGGAAGCTGTGCCAAATTACTTCACCTGCATTGCTGGAGGATATTCTTATTTAAGACTGCTTTCCACATGCACATTTC